TTCTGAAGGTCAACAAAATCACTCTGTAAGAGCTATGAACTCACCTCAGAAACGCGGCGAGTGGATCATGCTCCATGTCCTCATCGTTCTCGACATCAGCTACAGGAGTGGTGGTCTGAAAACGGACTTTTGAGGAGAAAGCATTCAGAAGAAAGGCCATTCTTATGAGCATACCTCTACAGGTACGGTAGTTCTGGCACCAAGACGTGGGAATCTGTCCTCAATGACAACTGGTGCAACAGGTCCCTCAGAGTCTTCATCCGGGATCTGAAAAGCTTCGCTTGTTTAAGTATTTTCCCCCTCCCTTTCCGCTTTTTTGTTAAAGATGTAATATTAGGTTGAGTCGATATGATTCGGACAAATTGACAAATTTTTTCTTTATCGTACAACTTTTTAACGACAACTGGGGTTCACTTGAAATATGCTCCATCTTCATCGATGACCTTCTGCCATGACCTTCGTTGACTCGTTGCTGAGTTATGATCTCTAGAAATCATCACTACCATTTGTCCGAGTCATATCGACTCAACCTAATACATTTGCAATGCGGTCAATGAGACACAAGTCCAGAGGGCCTACCTGTGCTTCCTCAGGCTTCTGCTCCTCTACTGCCTTGAAAATATTCTCTGGCTCAGGCTTCTGTTCCTCAGCTGGCTTGGGGACATTCTCAGTTGGTACGTCAATCTGAAACGAGTTCGCTTTTTCTTGCTAAAAGGTATAGCCGGTGCTACTGCAGACACTGGCCATGCCAGGGGCTGGGTTTGCCACGGCGCCAGCCCATTCTCCACCAATTATTTGAGCGAACAAGCGACAACAATTGCTGTAGAACTGACTGTAGAACTGATTGACGCCATGCCAAGCCCAACCCCTGAGACTCCTGAGCTTCTGTAGCAGAATCGGCTGCATGTTCACGCCTACACTTTTCGAATATGTGCAAGGCCCGTCATGTCGACAAGGAAAATGCGTGACAGTCCTCCCCACCGCTGCCTCTAATGCGATTTTCTTTCATCTGATAGTCCTACTTCATCTATTTCCTCACACGGTCCATTTCACGACACTTGGCGGAGGCGTGTCTACTGACTTAGTTGTGCGCACGGCGGCGGCTGTGTATCGGTGGTTGTTGCCGATTTAGCGCAAAAGCATATATAGCAAGCGTAGAAGAGAGTGCGGCTTAGGCTGGTCGTCGCTGTTGTGAATCGGCTTATGTTCTACATTGCCAAAAGTGCCCTGTTACGCAGCCGCTTCCGCGACAGCCAGGTTCGCGGACACGCCCTCTTCGCTTTCGGTCATAATTGGTTTCGTTCTGGTCGCATACTCTGATCCCGAATCGACGTCGCCAGATAAGGTAATTCGATTAGCTGGTAAGGTTGCTCTTGGAATTGTCCCTCCTGATGCAACCTGTCCAGGCCAATTACCGATTTATTAAACGGATCCCGTGGCAGTCTAATGGTACAATTGAGAGCGATGAACTCGCGCTATCTGATCAAATTTACCATTTGGAAATACCGTACCTGTGCAGCGTTGTCAACCACGTCCTTTACTGGCTCTTTCTCAATCTTCGGTGCCTGAAAAAATGTTCATATCATAAAAAGGTCATATTATTGATAAAAATATTACAGTACCTCAGTAGATGTCGGTTTGTCCTCGAATAGCTTGAACACGTTCTCTGTGGTGACTGCCTAAAATGGTGGTCTCAGAAAATTTCTAATAATTTGTAATGCCTCGCACAAAAGAGTCATATATTCAGTCTTGATAGCTGCAGAAGCTGAGGCGTGTCACGATGCTGGCGCGGCGCCAAACCCAACCCCTGACAAGCCCTAACATCTGCAGCGAACGAGACTGTACGCAGCGCACGTGATATCGACGAGGAAGAAAGGTCGTTTGAGATCACTCGCTCCTCTGTTGCTTCAGATACGACCCCCTCTAAGTGATTGTTGAACTTCACATAACTTCTAACCTCCACTTCCGTAGAAGGAACAAGTTTATCAGACCTCTATGACCCCGTATTGATTCCCAAAATTTTCGCGCCCTTCAAATGATTCCCGAATTTCCCGTGCCTTCAGATTAATGGAAGTCCCTTCAAGCAAACAAAGTAGGACCTCCCACCCCAGATCGACCTGGACCCGCTCGCTGGGACTCCTCAGCCTGTGCTGTGTCCTACAGCTAATTGGGGTTGGGAGGGGGGGACCTCCCCTATGGGTGTGGTTCACCGCCAGCAAAGAAAGAGCAAGCTATGGCAATGGCAAGTCCCATACGAAACTCTGAAGATGACTCGTACCCACCGCGTTCTCTCCCTTCTTCTCAGCCTCGTCGAAAACCGAAAGAATATCGCGGAACGGATTTTCGCCTTCGACCTGAAATTTCATTTTTTATTTTTTATGAGGGCTCGAGCCAAAGACAAAGGCAGTTCA